TCTTCTGGCTGCCCTCTAATGTTAGAGCTAAACCAAATATTTCAGATAGTAAAGGAAATGTGGGGCTTCTAACTCCTCCCAAATCCTTATACAAAAAAGCTAGTAACAGAAATAACGGTTAGACACTTTTGTTAATAATTTATTCTAGGACAAGAAAAGAAAATAATAGTGAGGTGATATTCCACGTCCATTTACTCAATAAGAATATTTTCTGGGTATGTCATGTATCCTCACCTCAGTGCGGTAACGCTACCTTTGATCCAGCTGCATCAAAACCGAGTTTGTGGTTTTGATGAATACTTTTATTTTTAATTCTATGACTTTGCATTTACCTAGATGCTTTAGATTGGTCCAGGGCAGGAGTCCTTCTTTCCCTCTGAAGAGTTTTCCCAGGTATGAGCTTGATATTGGCTTTTGCCAGATTAATTCCTGTTTCGTCCTTCTCAAGAGGTCGTGTTGGCTGTCACATGGGCCTTGAGCCAGCAAAGTGTGTGCTCCCAGGGGATGGGTACCTCTCCCAGATGAAGAGCACGTTGAAATCGTGTGCTGACTTATGGTCACAGATTAGGAAATAGTTGGTTGTATTTAGACTTAAAAATAAATCTGGTTTATGTTCCTTTACATTTTGGGTTGATAGAGAGGAATTTTTACTTATTTTTTTAAAAATGTTTGTATGTGTCATTCCTTCCCCTTCACTCCTTTCATCTGTTCCTCCTGTTTCTTTCAGACATGAAGTCACAGCACTGTCTGTGATGTCAGTGTGTTTCCATATTGACAGACCGTTCTGTCAGAAACAAGATCTTGATGCTTGTTTCAGATGAGGCAAAAGGGGAATACAGATGGCAAGAAGAAAATCAGAGGAGTGAGAGAGGAGTGGCGAGAAATACACACAACAGAGCTACAGGGGGAAATGCAGAGTCCAAAGACAACTTTACCGGGAGGGGAGAGGACTTCTTTCCACGGGTTCAGCAAGATCACCTGAAATGTGTGTGTCACCTTGAGTATTCAGTAGAAGCTTTAGTGTTGCACTCGTTTTGGCTCGGCAGTCCTTGAAGGTGCAGGAACAGTGGTCACATGCTGCTTCTCTCCTTGTTTACGCCTTCAGCAACAGCAGATCCTCTTGATTGAAGCCAGGATTATAGGATTTCCAAAAGCTAGAACACACACTCGTTGTCAGCAACTTTGCATAAGTTCAGAGGCCGTCCAAAAATCAACTGCCTGCTCTCACGTGGCACTTGAACTAATTGTCACTATTCAAGATAAGGCAATCTCTTCGAAACCCATCTAAGTTCAGGCTTCCCAAGGAAAACGCCTCCCAAATTAGGAACAGATCTAAAAATCAGACTGTTGCAATCAGCTGAAAAGGTTCTGAGCAATTGTAACTGAAGAGATAGGGAGAGGCAAAGGGAATAAAGAAAGGGTTAATGAGCAGTAGATACCATGCGATTAATAGATAATCTAGTAAAGAGTACTAGGATCCTAAAGATGTGTCTAGCACTGGGAGCTACACACAGTTCTGCCGCGTTTCTTTTACCGATGCGAATAGTAGAAGCCAACATTTGGAGAAACCACCCGCTATGCCAACATTTCTAATGCTCTCATGCATTCAGTTTCCAGTAGACTGTAAAATGCCAGCTTGATATAGTCATCCGAATTAATATACTTTATTAGCCTTTTTTAGCATTCACTCCTGGTTTCGTACACTTGATAGCAACAATGACCTCATCCCAATGTGCTGCTGAGGGGAGATAGAGAGGGGCACAGTCGCGCTGTTTGTGCTGCGGCAGGTAACTCTGCTAAGCAATTTAAGCAAATTATTTTGGGGTAGTTGGCCACTTCTCCAGTAGGAAGTCAGAAAGCAACTAGCAAGTACTTCAATTCATTGCTTGAGGCCTAAAGCTGTCGGAAAACAAATCTCTTCTCCCGTAGCCCACGAACACATACACCTAACTTATTTCCAACTTGAAATGTCACTGCTATACTGCAAGCATTTTTATTTTGCAGCTGTGTCTGCACAAATGTCTATGCTGCACGGAGGCTTTTTCTTTCTTCGGAACAGTCTGATTTAGAAGCAAACATCTTTGTAGCTTATTAGTCTTTGGAAGGCATCGTTTTGTCCCAGTACTATTCACAGGGAGTGTTGTGCAGAATGCTGATTGACAAGAGTTAAATTCAAAACATGTAGCCATTTTCTGGTGTGTGGTTTTTTTCCTGATTGAAGGAAAACTACTTAGATGTTTGTTTCCAAAACGGCATCTGTCAGCAATCAAAGGGGAAAAATTGCATAAAACAAATGCAATTGTTTGGAGTAGCATTTCCTGGATCATGTTAAATGCTTGATTTGCTCCCCATTATGCTCACCAAATAATTTTATTTTCCACAATAATTGCAATATTTAACATGTTGTATTTAATCTTGTTTTAATGCTATTAACAACAGCCGCTTATGAAAGGAATAATTGCTCTACGGGTAAGAACCCACCATCCCCAGCATCAGAAAGAACAATGGCAAAGTTAACTGCACCTAATTGTTCTGCATTTAAAACGCTGTTAACCAACAGCACTCCTCATTTCTTTGCACATAACTACTATACTGTCAGGAAGGAAATGGTTTCATGCCTCTGTCATTCATAAGCTGAAAAGCGTATGCTTTTCTAAAAAAGTATTTATTCCATGTGTTTATAATTAATACTGGGAAGTAAAGTCATATATTGGCATAGGAAGACCTAAGTACTCTCGGAGCAGTGGTTAATAGAGCAATCAAGAGAAAGTTTGTCAGTAGATCTATAACTACATCAGGTGATGGAAAACCATGTAGACCGAATAGAGATTTATCAGAAGTTGGCTGGAATGACATGCAGCACAACTGGGTATGAAATACTAAATAAATAATAAGCAGGGTGGGTAAGTTGTTCGGTTGGAGAGGTGGGAGCAAAGACAGCAGCATAAAATTCAATCTGACACCGATTCAAAGACTGATTGTTACTTAAGCATTTTACTTTATATTTTGCATGATTATTTGGAGGGAGATTTTTTTTCAATAAGCAGCAAGCGGCAGAAAGGACAGGTAGCATTAAAGAACCTGCGGTAACAGAAGACGATAACTGCTTTGCCCAGCCAGTGCAAGGACAGTTCCTGGCACAGTGTCTTCTTTTTTTTTTTTTTTTTTTTTTTTCCCTGGGCTCCGACTAAAACTTAACGCTTCCCATGCTAGTCAGACCCTTCCCTGTAAATGGCAGTGGGGTTGTACCTGCTATCTGGAGCAAAAAAGCAAACTGGGATGCTAAATAATTGCATAGATCATGCACAAACATATTTTTTGTGCAGTCCAAACAGATTGTAAAGACTAGGGCAAAAACAAAGACTGAGCCACGCATGTTACGTTAGCAGTTTGTTTACCCTAAATCATTTGCTTATCATCCCGCATATCACAGAAATCTGAAGGTATTATTGAAGCTCAATGAAAGTTAGTTCTGTCCTGCACTGAATGACAGTTTTGTAATCTATGCAGCCCGGAATTATCATTATGCTGTAGCCAAATAGTTAAACAATAGTTAGTACACAAAACAATCAAACGAAGAATTGTACACCCACGAGCTCCCCTTTTTGATACAAACAGAAATGGATATTGTTTAAAATAGAGTGGATATTTTTAATATTTTTTTCCTCTTGCGTCCAAATCGCGAAAAGATTTGCAGAGTGTAGCTCTTTCTGAGCGAGCAAGTTACATCAGCCATAGCTCTACAGAACTAAGAAACGTTCCTGGCGAGAGTCTGTTTGCCAGTCCAGAAGTTCATTTTTTTGAGCACTTGAGGAAAGGCACTACTGTATAGAGTGAAGTGCCCTGTTATTAAGTGGTGGTGGTCATAGCTGAGCAGCCGTCGCTCCGTGTGATACAACGGGGTGATTTAAATGGAAAGCATTCACTGCCTGTTTAATAGTCAGCTGTCATAAAAGTAATATTTTGTTGGTTTTGCAGTCCACCAGAAGAAGCAGGAAACAGAGATGGGAAAATGTATGATTATCTTTTACTTTGTTTTCCAGGAGAGGATTTTAATATTGGACAATACCAGGATTTCATAACTTTTCAAAACTGTTTGCTTTGGAGTTGTCTTTTCCCAAGTTATCTGTCAATTCTTCATGTAAATTTTGAATGTTGCAGAGAAGTTTTGCAGGAGGGAGAAACAAACCTCTGCTTGACTTTGGTGGTTATTGCCTGATGGTATTAGAAAGTGTAACATTATAAACCAATTTTTTTTTAAAAAAATAGTAGCAAAATATATTTTAAAAAAAAAAATCAAAAGGGAATTGTTCCGTTCCTAGGGAGTACTTTCGCCATTTGAACCTTCATATGAGAAGTCATTTATTTAAACAATAAGATCTGGTATCTAAAATCAAGAAGGAACAAAATGCCAAAACTTTAATGTTTCAAAAAAAAAAAAGAAAGAGCATTTGATTCCTTCAGAAAGCTTCTGTCACTGAATTGAGAAATAAACTTCAGCACTTTATACTTTTGGTTTGCATTTCACTGCTTAAATGATTATATGCACAATTGTGAAAGAAAGAAAAAGAAAGACGCAATCTTTTTCTTTTTTTGCTCAGTCTTTCCCCCCCCCGGTCACGTACATGAGAAAAGTAGCTGCGATAAACAGATACTGAATCAGACTGAAAGTCTTTTTTTTTTTTTTTTTTTAAAAAAAAAAAAAAAACACCCAAAACATTGCATGATAGTCTCTAAGCAGTTCCATCTGTCAAGCAGAAATTTTAGGCTAATAGCCTGTGGCGATCTCCCTCCGCAGTCCACTACCTGCCTTTGTCCTATTAAATCTCTTTATTCTTAAAAAAGAAAAAAGAGGAAAGGAAAGAAAAACCTTGCAGACCAAAATCATCTGAGTGATGAAGCCCTAATTTTGACCGCCTCTCTTTGATGTTGAGCAGTGGGTTCTTATTTAAAAAAAAAAAAAAAAAAAAAGGAGTGAGTGAGAGAGAGGGAGAGGGGGAGAGAGAGGGAGAGAGAGAGGAGAAGACAGTGCTAGGAGCAGATGACTTTTCATCTCCACTTCACCTTGCCACTGGGTCTGTGAGAGATTGGTTCATTGTCAAGGAGATTTTTTTTTTTTTACCCATGATTCCATATGGTATGGACCGGGCTACATGTTGCCCAACATGCCAGTGCAAATGTTTTCTCAATTAGGTGTCTTATCTCCCGTGAGTTAGCATCAGATGAAGCTTGCTGACAGCATAATGGCAGGGAAAACCTCCGACGGCTCCATCAAATGGCAGCTCTGCTACGACATCTCGGCCAGAACTTGGTGGATGGTGAGTTGGCAGCAGGGCTGCTTTTTTTTTTTCTCCCTTTTCTACTTTCCCTCCCTCTTTGACAAAATGTCCCAGACCTCACATTTATCAAATTAACATTTGATTTTTTTCACACTCTTCAGTAGAGCAGCCTCACACTTGTCCCACTTGTGTGCTTTCCCCTGTGTAACAGGAGACCGTTAATGTGCACTACAGTTTCCAGAGGGAAGCTTTTTCAATTCTCCTTAAGGGAAAAAAAAAAAAAAAAGTATGCAAAGAAGTAGTTTGAAAAAGCATTGTGCAGAGTAACTTGTCTCAGTCGGCTGCCTAGCGCCCAGTTTGTTTTACTTTATCTGCTGCTTTCAAGCGTCCGTGTGCATGTGCATTTTTTACCATGCAATATTTTGTAAAGAGGGGAGGTGGAAAGTTCAGTCCGTTAGAAAGCGAGTTGATTACTGTAAAAGCCTGGAACGGTGCGGTAGTGTCGTGGTGTAAAATCATCACGTGTGAGAGGAGCGTGTTTTGCGAGGTGCTGCCTTTCATCGGAGACCCCCATCTAACTTTTCCCTCCGCTTGTTTACGTTAGAACAGGTTACCGGGCTTTGCTGACCTGGAGCCATGTGTTACAGATCCCACATAGTCTGGCTCTAGCTGCTTTTGGGCGCAATTAAAGTTTCAATAAAGTCCCAACGTGCTCCGTAGAACGAGTTAACTAGCATGTCATGGTCAGCCGGGCCAGACAACCTTTGACATCTTGAATCTATAAGAGGTATAGTGAGTTAGGAGGATGCACAATAGCCCATTGTGGCAGAAGATGCAAGTCCTGTTGTGAGGAAGAGAGTCCTCAAATCATTACTGCCCTCGTTAGCGTGTTGTCCGTTAGGGATTAATTCGTTAGCAGCGCATTTTTAGTTTTCTGTAATTATTATTCTTGTGGCAAGCGTGAATTCTTCCAGTGAGAGGAAAAGTTTGCTGCCAGGACAATGAATGTATTATCCGCTCCTAACTGGACCGTGAACCTCAGCTCATTTCACATAGATATCAGTTAAAAAAGGACTGGCGAGTGGAATTACAAAACAAGGCATGATCACTTTCATTGTATGATACGCTGAAACAAGTCGGGGGCTTTCCCTCCCCCTCGCCGTCCCGGACCAATTTTGGTATCATTTGGAAAGTTTAAGACCTCTGAGGACTTGAAAGACTTTTAAAAGTGAGATCCGGAAGGTTTTTATTCTGCAGCTTGGTGGTGGCCATTGTGTATATCATGTGGCTTGTATTTAAAGGTGTTTGGGCTCGGGTTTTTCCGTTTTGTTTTGTCTAAACTCTTAATTTTTTTAACTGTCTATTAGAGGTTTGCCAGTGGTTGCCAGTGAAATGTAACATACAGCTTTTGGTTAATGGGAATAGGGAAGGCTAACCACTTTACTTATAGTACTGATTTTCCAATTAGACTATCTGCCAGGGGAAGTTGGAGGGGGAAGGGGTATTTGCATGCACATAAACTGTTGACTATTCATGTGACTTTTTTTTTTTTTTAGCTTGTTAAACCCCTGTAAATAAGTCTATTGATTCTTAGTTATCATTTTCAAAGCAAAGTTTTCAAGTGCCTGTTTTAACCACATGATTTATAGCATGCTGTGCTTTTGCCTTATTCTAAGCCATTTGTATACTTTATTACCACTCCTCTTGTATTGTCTATCGGCTGCTTTTATGACGAGGTACGTCCATGTTTATTATTTAATAAGTATCCTCAAATGTTATTAGGCAGTTATTATCACCCTATAGAAAGTGTCTGAGGAAGTTTCATTTCAGTCACATTTATTTCACAGATGTTTTGGTACTGTGAATATAAGATGTAAAAATGCTGGAAACATTTAGTAATGCACTTGCCTAAAAATAAACAGTTTTATAACCACACATGCTGTTGTTTAGATTAAACATTGCAGAAAGTTCTCCTTAAACTTGAACGTCACACCATTTATTTTCTAAGAGAACAAAAAAAAATCACTAAAATAGCCTCTTTCTTGTAGAAGTTGTGCTAGATGAAAGAGATGTTATTTTTAACTGAAATGAATAATTCAAGATCTTTACAATAGACGTGTTAATTGCAAATAATTTTCGTACAAAGTTTCAATAATTGATGGAGTAATAAGCAGTTTTTCATACAGTCTGTGAATCTAAAACGTACAACAAAAAGTAGATATCTATTATTTTTTTCACCCCCAAACATCACCGCATATGCCACATTCTTTTAATCAAAAGTAAGCTAGAGAACAGATTTTAATGTTTTAAAGACAAATAAAGCTTTTAAAATTACCTCATGCATGGTCTGGCTGCACACAATCTCAGCTGCACAGTGCTAAACTTCGGTTTGGTACTGCCAGCATACAAAGAGATGAGTGAATACCCCTTGCACCCATATGGACTCAGCTGCCAGCACTCTGATATGCAATTTTGCTTTTTAATGAATCGTAAACAATTTGTGTGTCAAACGAGGGAGTTTGTTTTCTTTCTGGAGCAGGTTCTAAATCCGTTTTAAGCTATAGCTGTGTACTGTACTGGAGTATTATGCCCAAATTTAAAGGTTCTGTGTCATTTTGATGAAAAGACCTGTTATAATGAAAGAAACGGCTTTATAAAAGGCTGGGTGTAGTAATCTCTCTCTTTCTTTCTTTCTTTCTCGCTCTCTCTCTCTCCCCGTGTCTCTCAACCTCACACTCTCCCTCTTTCACTCCAGTCTATAGCATGTTTATAGCTAGCTAGCTGGAGATAATGGAGATTGGTTGATTGCATGATTAGTAAAATGAATGGATTTTAGCATTGGGCAAAGCAGCTTGCATTTTTGAAAGGTGGCTTTAAAATGCAGAGTTCTAATTTTGACCTTATTTTCTTTCATAGATAATCTTTATTAATGCTCCTTTAATTCGTTTTTCCTCATCGCAGCTAGGTTTTCTATCCAGCCATTTGATGGAATGGCTAATATATTTTAACTTACTTGCCAAAATAGCAAGAGGTCAAAGTGAAAGAAAAATGTTATTTTTCTTTCTTGCAGACAGTTATAAATGCTTCAAACTATTTCAGTAGAACCCACAGGATTTGTATATCTCAGCAATAGTTGCATTTGTCACCACAGTTTTAAGGCAATCTTTTGACACCTAATCTATTTTTTTTCTTACACTTTAATCAAGTAAATGCGGAAACAGTTATTATTTTGGCTATATTGTAATGTGACATTTTAGCAGAAACTTTTCCCCCAAATGCTGTAAATTTGTGTAAGAAGGAATTATATATATTTTTTACATATATATAGTAGCAAATACTTTAACTGGTGGATATGAGATAAATGAGTTTCTTGGAAAAATGATCATTATTTTGTAATCATTGGCATTTTTTATTTAAATTTGATGCTGTCATAGAGACACTAAAGGGTTAGTCATAGAAAAGTTTCGGTACTCTGTCTTGCATTTGTAACAAATATGTGCAGCTGTGCTACTTTTATAAACATTTATTTCAAGCTGATTATTTTTTTAAATTATTTGCTCTAGCAAGCCAATATGATGTGAATATTATATATGTTTAATAAGGGATTGTCTGCAAAATTCCTTTGCACGGGGTTATTGAAATACATGTGCAGCAAAGGTATATACTGGAGGAAAATTCTCAATGACAATACAAAACTAAAGACCCTGGGCCAAATTCTGCTCCAGGTTTACACTGCCATCAGCCTGGAGTCGCGACATTAAGAGTGGAGCAACTCCAGGTTTACTTACCTGAGTGACTGAGCGCCAACTTTGACCCGTTTGAGTTATCTCAGTCCGAACAGTTTCAAACCCCAAGCTGTTTTCCATCGCGAAATATCTGAAGAAAAAAGCCTCATTAATAAATAAGAAGCCATTTCAAATGACTCCATGTATGAGTTAGCATGCAAACTGCTGTTATTGAATACGACAGTTAAAGCAGATCTTCCAGTCATTTTCCAAAATAATTGTTTTCTAGTTTTATTATCCAGCTACCGATCCATAGTTTAGTGTTTATGCCTTTATTTTCTTTAGATGCTGTAAGTTAAAAGAGAATTTATTATAGATAGTAGGACTGGACTTTAAATGGTCATTTTGTTACTTTAAAGGTTTTTAACTCAATATCATTTTTTCACTGATGCTCTTGGTAAATGCTTTTCTTTCATACCTCTGTGCTCCAGTTTTTCAGAGGAGTAGCTGAAATTGCTCAGGTAATTTATGCAGTAAAAAAAAATAATGAAAGTTTCAAAATGTTACTAGCATTTCTGTCAATTAAGAATTAATAGAATCATCACTATAAATCTCATTGCAAATGAGATTAAAAATAATGGTGCATCTACTAAATATTTATTTCATCATGCGGAAAGATAATTGTTACTACCAAAGCTAAAAAAGTCCAGAAGCGTGAAACACTCGAAAGTAGTATTTCTTGTTTAAATCCCTGAGCGTATCTACGCATACGTGCATATACATACTCTCATCCAAGCTTATCATGGTAATCCCCACATGCTGTTGAACCATACGTGGCTTTGCTGATTTGTGCTTCCTAATTATAATTTGCTGTATATCAAAAAGCATGCACGTATTAATAGTTATCCTGCTCTTGCCTCTATAAAAATAACAAAGTGTGAACGAAGTGTAACATTGCGCTGTGGATTTTCTTTGTTGTACACAGGCATTCTCATATGTTCATACACTGGTCAGCTGCTGTATAAATGTTTTTAATAAAATTTTTCCTTCTCTGTCAGAGTTGCTAAATTCCGTCTGTAACTTAAACACATGTATTCAGTGCATCATTTTACATACTTTATAGTATCTTCATTTTCTATACGTGGCCTCCTTTAGCCTACAAGTATTTGTACTAGTTGTTTTCTACTCTTTTTCCTTCACCTGTCCTAAATATTGCCATGAATGTTTCTAATTTAAAGCCAGAGGAGTCAGTGGCTGATTAGAAGACAGGAAATTGGAGGATTAAACTGTCTGGTTGAACTTCCTTTACTTATC